CGCGGCAAGCTCGCTTGCTATTAGGGCCAACCAGGGGTCCCCCTCACTTGTGCTGCCCAATTCCCATTAATAACCGCCCTTTTTTCCCGGTAAGGTAAATATAGGAACACATGTTTGGTGTAAGAGAGTTTTATTATAAAAAAATAGTTATGAATATATTTGTGTTTTAATACAGTAAAAGAATCAGCCTGTTCCTCTCTGTTCTAATCGGCGCCTTCTGCGATATTTGAGGAGTGGTCTAAAAGGGAAAGATTTGGCACTGGTAAGTAAACATATTAAGATTTAATTTACATAGTAATAGCATCAATATATTAACAGGTACCATTTGATTGCCTACTTTGCGAGGCCCTATGGCACTTTCTTTGGTAGCGATCATGGCCCTTCTTAAATGCGTTCTTAAAAGCATTTTCTAATTGGTGGCGGTCCGTATTCCATCGATTGAAGACATCTAGAATGTGAATGTTTATTTGGTTTAATTGCAAATCCTGCCCAGGATCACCGAATACACCGGACTGTCAAATAAAGCCCGTGTACCTGGCTTTCTGCCGTAGAAAGTGAGAAACTCCGCCACGTCCTCAGAAAAAATGGTGAAAAATATTCGTTCGGCAAAGGCCGAAACAGTGTCACCCCCCATGGTTGATAGGTAGGCAACCTGAATCAGGTTATTATTAATAACAAACACTGTTTACCAAATTTCGCCTGTAAGACGCGTCTGACACTCCTGTCGTCAGCTCGTCGTTAGTGCTGCCATCTGGGCTTTCAGTTCTCTTTGCCCATGGGCAAAGGGAGTGTCAGACACGTCTTACAGGCGAAATTTGGTAAACAGTGTTCGTTATTAATAATAACCTGATTCAGGTTGCCTACCTCTCGGACATGGGGGGTGACACAGTTTCGGACTTTGCAGAACGAATATTTTTCACCCTTTTTTCAGAGGACGTGGCCGAGTTCCTCACTTTTTACGGCAGAAAGGCAGGTACACGGGCCTTATTTGACAGTCCGGTGTATTCTGTGATCCTGGGTAGGATTTGCAATTAGATCAAATAAACATTCACATTCTAGAGGTCTTCAATCGCTGGAATAAGGACCACCACTCGGACCGCCAGCAATTAGAAAATGCATTTAAGAATGCATTTAAGAAGGGGCACGATCGCTATCAAAGGAAGTGCCATAGGGCTTCGCACAGTAGGCAATCAAATGGTACCTATTAATATATTGATGCTATTACTATGTAACATAAATCTTAATATGTTTACTTACCACTGCCAAATCTTTCCCTTTTAGACCAGTCCTCAAATATCACAGAAGCCGCCGATTACAACAGAGAAGAACAGGCTTAATCTTTTATTGTATTAAAACACAGATATATTAACAACTATTTTTTTAATAATAAAATTCACCTAGACCAAACATGTGTTCCTATATACCGGGAAAAAAGGGCGGTTATTAACGGCTGCAGCCAGTATTTCCTTTATCCCTGAAGCTGTCCAATGCGATCTTTTCTTATGCTTCCTATGTCGGCGGCGGGTAAGTGAATGTTTATGTCGCCGTCGCTTCTGCTTCGGCGTGCTACTGATATGCCCTCCATCTGAAATTTATATAAGTAATAGCAAAAACGAAGACTTACTTGAACGATTTGGTGATAGTCCCTTTGGAATGGTGGAGCTGCTGTCCAAATCGGATGTTGATTCCTAAAACGAACCTGTTTCGCAATGCTTTGTTATCCTTAGCGACGATGAAGAAGTTGATGGAAAGGAATCGTCGCCTACGTATTCCTGCCCAATGTATTTCTTGTTGGGCTTTCCTTCCCTATGCGGACGTTCGCACATTCTTATCTACAACCCAACGGGATTTAGTTAGTAATGTTTTGGGCCGAAACTAATCTAAGTCCCACAGTACCCCCGCACCATTTGCGAATCTGTAAATAAGGGACCGTTGGGTTGTAGGATTCGTAGATAGTGACCGCTTAGCGGTGGGATTGTCAGTGAGACACTGAAGAACTTTGAAGAAGGTGTTGAAAGGCCGTCGTCGTACGCATTCACCCGTCAGCCGGTAGGCTCACCTACCGCCGCACTGTCCGCTGAGTCCCAACGCCCATTAATTTCGATGAGGACAAATTCCTCCTGCATTGGAAAGCACGCATACTTCTGCACCGTGCTCGGCAAACGGCAGCTGTGAATATCGCTCCCTAACCTGCACTTGAAAACCTTAATGTTAGAGGAGTCTACGGGATAATAAAAGAAGTCTTCTATATTAATAAATTCCGAGTAAACTATGTCAATGTCGCCTGATGCGTATCTCACTATATTTCTAATCCTAACTAGTTTATCATCGATGGCCACTGAGCCATCGGCAACTGTAGTACTAATGACTAGGTTACCTTTTTGTATGCATTTAAATTGTGTGAATGCACCAACATGCTGGGCTAGTGGTCCATCTGTATGCTGTTGTTTACACGTCCACTCCAGATGAAGGTGGACATCACTTGCCACTGACTGCAATTCCCCTAACCTACGCACTACTTGTTGCAGTGGCTGGGATGGTTTCCTCAGCAGACGCTTTAACCTACCTAGGTAACTTTCGAAGGGGAACGATGAAAAAGCGTCCAGCGGACCATGTCGTTTTACATCGTCCGCCAAGTGCACAATGCTGTGAACATTATACACCATTTCCTTCCTACCGTACAAAGAAGCAAATTTATCGACAAACATGCGTAATACGCGGCTGCAAAACGGGACCCACTGTCTACATGATCGAGGCCGTACTAGACAGCGTACTGCTGTAAAAAGCAGTAAGAAGTGCTTCCAAAACTTGCGTGGAAGCACACCAGGAAGAACAACTACGCCAGTGTACAACAGGAATTGGCGCAGTTCTGTGCCCTTCCAGGTGTCCATGTCATTTAATGACCTAACGCGCTGCGAAAATTCCCTCGGCAGGTAGGGGTTCAACGCGCGCAAGTTCTTATTTATAGTGGATACCTCCGATGTAGACAACCTATATGCTCTGTCCCTAGGGCTGCGCAGTCAAAGGTTAAGAAGTCTTCTCATTACACCTAGGTACACCAAATGTAAAGGATCTAAGGGTAAGGAGCTTATCATTCCTACGTTGCACGCCAGCAAATGGCGACACGCCAATGCGGTGGCAGTCATCGTCCCTGAAAAAAAATTCCTCATCTGACCCAGCATGTTCGGAGACACTATCATAAACTATCTTGTCGTTGTACTCCCCCTTAACGCAACAACGTTCGCAGCCATAGTAAGCATTGACATTCTTAATCTGCTTTATGAAAGCTCTTGCTGGAGCGTCACAGATGACGGAAGCCAGACGGAAGCGCAGACTTCTGTCACCCCCATCGAGCAGCAAACCGTCTTCGTTCAACGACATTAAATCGTCGACGAGTGGTTTGCAGAACGCCTGCACGTCCGACGGCCTACCTACTCCACAATATATACCTACTGTGAAGACATTACTTAATATTGGCTTCATAATTCTGCCTAAAGGTTAACCTTTACTGTTTTGGAAGTGCGTACAGAAAGGCTCTGTGGGCAGTCGCCGCAAGCGCGCTTTCCAGGCAAGTTGTTGTCTGTGTGCGCCTTGGAGGCGCTCAAACCCAGCGCTTGTGTGCTCCAGCCAATCAGAGTGGGGACAGCGTTGATTGGCCTGGAGCACTTGCGAGGCTAGCGAAAAGCGTCGCGCGCCCCAGCAGTGTATCGACAAGGCGTGTGAGGCGGACTGGAAGGCAGCCTGACAAAGGCGGAGGGCAAGGTGACGCGAACTGCCACAGTACCATGGTAGGTGATGAGATAGTAGCATGCTTAGTCATCGACGGTCTTCCTATTCATAAGGAGACCAAAAGAGAATTTTGGCCATTTTTAGGCAGTATTATCCAGCCCTTTTTAGTCATATTTTTGCAGTATGAATTTATTGTGGGCAGGGAACGCCGCCCCATGTTCAGTCATTTTGCATACCGTTGGTAGACGAGTTAAGAACCCTGGCAATTTCTGGTCTGTGTGTCGACGCCGTCGACAGAAATCTGCAGTTCCGCCTAGCAGCCGTTATCTGTGATGCGCCTGCTAGGGCATTCATCAAGCAAATTGAAAACGTTTATGCATTCATATTGACCCAACTGTGAAAAACTCGGCGCCTCGGTGGGATTCGAACCCACGCAGGTGGTTAGAGCGTTGGCTGCGCTAAAGCCTTCCCCTTACTGCGTGGGTTCGAATCCCACCGAGGCGCCGAGTTTTTCACAGTTGGGTCAATATGATTTATTCAAAATCTGCCAAAATATCAATGGGTTTATGCATTCCGCGGTTGTGAAAGGTGCTGTGTAAAGGGCGAATACCTTGACAAAGTAGTCTATGACAGTGTCTCTGAGTCTTCTAGGGTGGATGAGGAGTTCTTGTCTCCTGCTGATGGCAGTCATCGAGTTCGTATTTCGACGTTGTTAGCTAGTAATATTGGAATGATAAGTTCATTTCCATTACGCCCCCTTCATTTAGTTTACTTAGGTGTAATGAGGAGGCTGTTGAAGTTGTGGCTTTGAAGCCCAAGGGAATATGCCTTTTGATTGTCAAGGGCTGCAGTAAGTACGCTTAATGAAAGCCGGAAATTGCTGAATGCGTACCTGCCACGGCAATTTTGGCATCGTTCCAGGTCTCTTAATGATGTAGACACATGGAAGCGAACGGAATTGCGTCAGTTTCTGCTTTACACAGGCAGAGTGATGATGCGGGACATTCTTCCTCGTAGATATATGAAGCACCGTTCGTCGGTCGCTTTACACGTATCCTACGACCCAACAGTCCCTGAGCTTATGATACGTGAATGGTGAAGGGAGGCAGCGGTTACTTATACAGCATTGTCTCCGATAACCTTCTCTTTTCCTGTTGGGTTGTAGACCATCATGTCTCAGGAGTTACCTCCCAATGAGAATGAAAAGAACAAGAGGAAATCGAAAAGCCCTTATGACCCCCTAGTTTGGGCCGTGGGGGGATGCCAGAGGTGGCGTCGACGTCGGTAGGACTACCTATTGTTTACCGAATTTCGGTTTCTGGGATCTGAAGGGGAGGCTACAGATTCAAGCTCAACCATACCGGGTTGTACCTCTCCAACTTACACGGGTAAGTTTCAATGCACTGCATGCGACCTGCGTAGGTCATAACCGTCTTTTTAATACACCTGATGTGTTTGTCTTGTTTCTGGACATTTGTATGGGCTGTGGGAGTGGTCGTTGCGCTGTCACGCGCCAGTACTAGTACGCCCCGGAGGAAACGACGACGACCGTATGTCCGCCAAGGGGAAAAAGAAGAAGCGACAGTACTGGATGATCTGTTAGTCACTTGTCGAGTTTTGGAGGAGGGAGCCCAAGCGCATTCGTTGGTCGAGTTTTTAGTGCTCTGTTTGAGGACGAGATCACGAATCACTTAACGTTTTATGGACGACAACAGGGCAAGTGCGCATTCTTTGGCTCCACTGCCAACGCAGTAGTCCTGGGTATGACAGGCATTATTTTCCGCAATTCACACATGCCTAGACAGATGTCTTTACCAGATGGCATAGCGACCACAATTCGGATCGCCAACAACTGGAGAAAATGTTTCGAATCGCATTCCGAAGGGCCTATGACCGCCTGCAAAAACGGACCAATAAATGATCGACGTCACGTCAAGTGGACTGTTAGTTACCCCTTCATACTCCGACCTATTGCAATTCATATTTGTATCACACAACTTAAGTTGAATGCACTTTCTTTTAGAAGTTACGGACGATGTCGACAATACTCCCCGTCCTGGACCGTCTGGCTCCTCATCACAGCGGTAGAAGGGCATGTGTGGACATATTAATTAAGACGATTTTGCGTTCCTCCATAATAATTATTTTGTGCCAGATTTTCCACAATCTTTTCTATATACCTGTACATTTCCACATAATTGCGCGACTAACTGACCTCTGCAGTAAAGTCGACGGTTTAGAAGCACAGGTCTCAGACGTCATGTAGCCGCCTCCATATCGCTACCAGTTGAGGAAGGACGGGCATGGCATCAAGTAAGTTTGCTGGCCGCCTACGACCGACTGTGCGCGGCGTTGTCAGACGGGCGATACAGACGTCGACTGGCAATTTATTTATTATACATAAACACTACGCATAGAAGCCCAGACACGCGTGTTTCGCCGATCTTATGCCGCTGCATGACGCATCTGCGAGGGGTTCGGCTCGTCAGTGGGTCCCCCAGCTTTCCCCCTGTGTTTTCTGATATATGAAATCCAGTTTCAACTTGCCTTGTTTAATTTCCGAGGAAATTAATGCGCGAACTTGGAGTAAATCTTTCGAAACGGGCGTTTTCAGGCACGCTCCAAGTTTTGATATGAATATTTGAGCTGAAATCCATCAGCTACTGCGGAATAACCGCTTAATATTCACAAACCGCCAACAGGCAGCCAGTAGTATAAAACTGTGCAATGATTTGCCGTACTAACAACACATAGATATGTAACTTGTCCGGGGCAGGTGGGGAGAATACGTCAGCATTTGCTGGTCGTATTTTCTCCACACTGTTCACGGAAGATGTGACGGATTTTTGACATTCTATGGGAAAAGACCAGGAAGTAGAGCCTTCTTTGGGTCCCCAATCTACGATCTGATCCTCAGTAAGACTTATGCTTTGTGAGCATTAACCTTTTACCTCCCAGACGTCTTCAATAAATGGTGTGCAAGTCATGCATCCGATAGACAAAAACTGGAGGCGTCTATTGACGGCAGTCAATAGACGCGCCAACTTCCTTTTCGGGGGACGCATCGACCTCGACGACTGAACAGTGGCACAGTTATTTTGAAGAGCGTCCTATGTCCTTCTGAACTGAGATGGATGTAACCGCACGCGACCTGATGCGATCCTGGGCAGTTAGTTCCAAAGTACCCCACCATCATCTGACCAATCTGCTGAAGATTATGAGGCAGATGAAGCCAGAGGTGTCAAGCATGCCCTTGGACGCACGAACACTTCTCGGCGGAGCAGGCGATCTGCCACCGATAACGGCATTAGGCGGCGGTGAGTAAGTTCACTTAGGATTTGTTAAGCACTTGTCTGAGCAGTCACATGCCTTTTCCATGCATGTGGTGGACGATGAGATAGTAGCTTTGTTGGCCATCGACGGTCTTCCTATTCATAAGAAGACCAAAAGACAATTTTGGCCAATTTTAGGCAGAATTATCCAGCCCTTTTTTAGTCATATTTTTGCAGTAGGGATTTATTGTGGGCAGGGAAAGCCGCCCGATGTTCAGTCATTTTGCAGACCTCTGGTAGAAGAGTTAAGAACCCTGGCAGCAATTTCCGGTCTGTGTGTCGACGCCATCGACAGATATCTGCAGTTCCGCCTGGCAGCGGTTGTCTGTGATGCGCCTGTTGGGGCATTCATCAAGCAAATTGAGAACTTTAATGCATACTGCGGTTGTGAAAGGTGCTGTGTAAAGGGGGAATACCTTAACAAAGTAGTCTATAACAGTGTCTCTGAGCCTTCTAGGGTGGACGAGGAGTTCTTGTCTCCTGCTGATGGCAGTCATCGAGTTGGTATTTCCCCGTTGCTAGCTTAGGACTTGTAAAGCAGTTGGCTGATCAGTTACGTGCCTTTTCCATGCCGGTGCCCTGATAGCAAGGGTGCTCGCGTACTCTAGGGGGGTAGTGGGTCTTTAGCCAGCTCCCGATTTGATTGGTTCTCGGGTCGGCTGCGCCGACGTCGCGAAGGCCGTAAACGGCCGCGTATACTTGCGCTTTATTATCGATTAGTTTCGGCGCCCGATAGTCCTCACGCTCGCCACGGTGCCACTTTTTGCCTTCTCACGCTGCAGTGCGCACGCCGCGTCTCGCTCAACGGTGTCATTGCCAACCCTACCTGTCCTTTTGTTCTCTCTTGTCCCCTTTTACTCACAATTATGTTTAATTCTGTTAGCAGGCGTAATCGCCGGCGTCAAGCACGAAGGGAAACTGAAAAAATAATAAGAAGAATCAACGAAGAGGTGAGGGAAATGCCGTCATCGGACACATCATCTAGTAGTTGGTCGGAAAGCGTCACGGACGAGTCTATGTCCTCAACCTCGCTGGAGTACGAACGCTCTTCTTCGTTGGAGGGTTCCAGTGCGTCTAAGGACGAAGAAGTTGGTTCAATGGCAGAAACAGAGGCATCCAACTCCCTGCCGTCAGCTGTTGAAGCGCCCATTGTGCAACGAGTCAGCACGTTGGGCGGATATGACGAGCTGACGACCGGAGTGTCCGACGCTACGTACACGCGGAATTTGGTAAACAGTGTTTGTTGTTAATAATAACCGGATTCAGGTTGCCTACTTGTCCGCCATGGGAGGTGACACAGTAACCGCTTTCGCGGAGAGGTTATTCTTCACCCTGTTTTCTGAAGACGTCGCGGAGTTTCTTAAGTTTTGTGGCAGAAAGGCAGGGACTCGGGGCTTGTTTGACAGTCCCGTTTACTCTGTCATCCTGGGTAGGATTTGCGATTTGCCCAACTAAACAATTACATTTTAGAGGTTTTCAATGGGTGGAATAAAGACCACCATTGGGACCGCCAAAAGCTTGAAAATGCATTAAAAATTGCATTTAAGAAGGCACATGATCGGCATCAAAGAAGGTGATTCAACGGCAGAAGTAGAGGAGGAGGATTCAAGCGCACGTGAAAGTCTGCGCAAGTGGGCTTTACGCTCACAAACGCCTCACCTCCATTTGAACGACCTGCTAAAGGCTTTGAAACCGTGGTTGCCGGACCTCCCAGCTGACGCACGAACTCTGTTGGCCGCGACAAACCTCTGCACCGATCACGTCAAGGGGCAGTGGTGAGTTCGTGCATTTAGTATACTAAATAGATGCATGAGGTCTGTTTATGAAATGGTAACTAACCGTCCAGTGGGCGTGACGTAGATAGCTTAGTCGTCCTCTTTTGTAGCCGGTCGTAGGCCCTTCTGAACATTAAACGGAAGCATTTCTCTAACCGTAAAAAGTCAAATAATGTGTTATTTCATCTTGAAATAGGGCACTGAACACGCGGTCGACGAATGCGCTCAATGTCCGGCCTCCAAAACTAGCTAAGTGGCTGACCTATCCGAGAAATAAGTAGGTCATAAGACACTTACCATCTGCTGCCGAAATTCGGTGTCTGTCAGTTAATTTGTAAATCTTTCTAAATCGCTCAAGCAAGCCATTCGTCTAAAAGGTGCAGCCACAGACGTTGAAGTGGATAAGGAAATGGCTGCACTGGCACGTCCTTCGGCCTAAGCATCCAACTTCAACTCAACCCGCTCTAGTCGTTTAGTATTCTCTTTACTATTATTTATCAGCCACCGTAGAACGCCTCTAAATTTCCGCCACATTTCGCGGGAGGACATGTGTCTCCTTTTGCGTTCGGTTCTACTCATCTTATGCCCTACGAAAGGCATAATAGAATGAAAGGTAATTACCTTTGGATTTAGGGGAGGCCACCAATGGCAATGTAGAGCTGGATTCAGAGTTTTCTGATTGCGAGTGCTGTAGACAACGGAAAATTATGTAATTAACATTCATACTGATGTCGTCGAGAGGTTTAATTCATTTTCCCACATGTCATCACCGTACGGGTTCCTTGCTGACCGCCTGGGTCTCTTCTTTTTAGGGCTTTCTTCCTCTGAGGACATGATACTCTACAACCCAACAGGAAAAGTAGAGTGTGGGTAGGATAAGAATATGTAGCTAATCACTGCCTCCCTTCACTGCCCACGAAACAATAGCTGAGGGACTGTTGGGTTGTAGGTTGTCGAAGATTGGACGTAGTGCTAGCCCGGGTTTGTGAATTTAGGGAAGACCATACATTCTGGGTATCGTTGTGCCCACAGGCTTTAGCCCTTCAAACTCCTTGTCAGAAAGAAGTCCTTCCTTGTGGAGATCTTTGAGCACATTCGTTAAGTGTCTCTCGATTGTCTCTGTTCGATCCCTGTGTTTCTCGGATTTTGAAAATTTTGTACGGTCCGATAAGATTCCTTCTAATTTCTCCACGTAATCTGTCTTATCCATCAGCACTATACCTGAGCACTTATCGAATCTTATTAGTACGATATTTTCATTTTCAAGAAGCTTCCTGAGACTATCGAGGTGGGTTCTTGTTAGGGGACCTTTGTTCCTCGGAGCCTTTCTCAAATACTGTTGGTCATTGTACGGGACGAAAGAAATGATGTGCAATGTTCACAGCATTGTGCACTTGGCGGACGATATCACACGACATGGTCCGCTTGACAGTTTTTCATCCTTTCCCTTCGAAAGTTACCTTGGCGGACTAAAGCGCTTACGGTAACAATCGGGAGAGGGCACTCAAATACACGTTGCCCATAAATAATACCTACTATATCTATTTGAGTAGGTCATAACACTACACATTTCATTGTTTTATTCTACCTCAGTTTCATCTGGCCTGCAGTCCACATGTTGCTTCACTTAGTCCGTTTGCGGCTTATTCTGCGAGAACATAGCTGCGGACAATTGGGGAATGATCGCTTTAGGCCTATCCTATGTTTACCGACCTTGATAGTATCTTACATAGCTGAAGGGCGTGCGCAGTAGTCGGTATGCGGATTAATCAACAGTAGCGTACGTTCGGACACTTGCGATTCGATCGCTGTGGACGGACCCTTTGGCTTGTGGATTATGACCATTACTTCCTTAGGTCAGTAACGACCGCAGTTGTAGGTATGCATCTCAATCTATGGCACCATACCTTTGGACAGTTGCGAAACGGCCGCTGTAGGGCGTATGCGGCATGACCTAGGCTAGTAGACTACCAGGACACTTGAGGCGCAATCGCCCTAGACAACTTGATGCCACGCATGCCTACAGCTTTGTAGGCTTCATTGACACAAGCCCTCGACATCCAGCACCTACACATGGCGGGCAGGCATGGACATAGTCGGGGCGTTTTCATCCCTATTAATAGCAAAATCTGCTCTGAACGATCTCGCAGTGAGCTCGTTTTGCGCGGTACGCGAGCTCTGCTGGAGCTCTAAAATGGTCATCGATCAGAGCTCTTACGGAGTTCGCGAAAACGAGCCCAAAATGAGCTCTAAAAAACGGGCTAGCGAGGTCGTTCCGAGCTTGGCCCGAGCTCCAAAAAACGAGTTCCAGCGCTTACCCAACCCTAATAGCAAAATGTGCTCTGAATGAGCTCGCACGGAGCTCGTTTTGCGAGGCAGGCGAGCTCTGCTGGAGCTCTGAAATGGTCAGCGATTAGAGCTCATACGGAGCTCGCGAAAACGAGCCCAAAATGAGCTCTGAAAAACGGGCTAGCGAGGTCGTTCCGAGCTTGGCCCGAGCTCAAAAAAACGAGCTCCAGCGCTTACCCAACCAGGGGTTCCCCTCATTAGTACTGCCCAAATCCCATTAATTACCCCTTTTTCTCTCCGTGAGGTATATATAGGAAGACATGCATGTTTGGATTTTCAGAAGTATATTGTAAAAAAATAGTTTCATAAAATCTGTGTTTTAATTCAATAAAGGATTAAGCCTGTCCCTCCCCGTTGTAATTGGCGGGATCTTCGATAATTGTCGACGGCTCTAAAAGGGAAAGATTTCGCAGTGGTAAGTAAACATAGTAAGAATCTTGTTACATAATAAAAGCAGCAATATATTAACACGTACCTTGTGATTGCCTACTGGCGGAAGCCCTTTGGCACTTCCTTTGATAGCGGTCGTGCCCCTTCTTAAATGCATTTTTGAAGGCATTTTCTAATTGCTGTCGGTCCGACCGGTGGTCTTTATTCCAGCCGTTGAATACCTCTAGAATGTGAA